TATATACATATATATATACATTCTTTTTTTTTTGTTCATTCTGGCATATAAATCACATATACACACAAAAAAAACACCTCCCAAATACAGAATATACAAATTAATAGCCAAAAACTGACTACAAAAACAGAAGTTTGTCATATAGAGGTGCAAAACTTTGGAATGAAATTAACAATGCTGTAAAAAATGTTAGGAAATTGTAAATACACCAATAATAGAATGTTTGCTAACAGCACCACTGTGGTAGTTTCTAACATAAACTACTGTATTTTTGTTTTATGTTCCAGTTAATTTGTAAAGTACAGTTAACGGTTACGATATAAGTCGTGTTAAGATATCTGGTAGTTAACAATTGCTTCATTATTTGATTTTAAGCCATTTTTTAGGTTAAGCCTATATTTCTTAGTTTCTACTTATTTTCTAGTTACTGTAAATCTGTGTATACATGTTCTTACAGAATAACAACTGTTAGTTGAGCCAAGTTTCCATGTTTTAAATAAATATAGCTTATTATTATTATTATATTTGATGTTCCATTAAGAAGCTGAAGTACTTACGAGTTTCCATAGGCAACAGTAACACCTGCAAAGTCTACATCAGGACAGTTAACAAGAAAAGCACCGATGCAAAGAAATGATATGAACAGCGCCCCCAGGCAGAATTTAATCATACCTCTGAACCTGAGTTTGAAGTGCTTGACAAACCAACCACCAGCCACTGCTCCCCCAATGGATGCTGGGATAATTATTAGACCTGGCAATCAACATATAAAATTATTTTAAAGTGTTTATAAAAAGCTATCAGCTATCAATATTATGAATGAAACATTCAATATGATAATCACCACACACTAGATGGTTCACATTTTGATCATGATAAAATTGCCATTTATTATATTATTATGTAATCACATTATCATATTATTAATACATTTTTTTTAAATTTCTCACCACTTACAAGAAGGATCAATGCTTTGTAAACAAAGTCTCTTATTGAGGCCTACAGAGTGGAGCTGTTTTTGGTCATGGGGAAAATTCCTGCTGTGGCAGAATCGTCCCAGGGCCCTCCCTGAGATATGAAGGCAAGGATCTTAACCACTAAGCTATACAACACCACTTACCTACAAGTATGGCAGCCCAACTCGAGGACAAACTGAACTGAGATTCAACAAACTTGGGAGCAAACACAGCAAACCCGGCCAGAAGAAACCACTCCGTAATCGCAGACAAATTAATGAACATAAATGGAACATTCTTGATAAGTTGAATTACGGCCCTTGGGAAGTCACGTAAGCTGTTACCGAATCCTGCGCGCACTTGGAAGTTTGATCCGCAATGTGCTTCAGAAACACGTTCTTTAGCTAACTCTTTATGCCCTATACAGAGAATGAATAAAACAATATCTACTGTCAAAAAACATAATTTTCAATTGTTTAGCTCGACAGATAGTGCATCGCTGACTGACAGCTTTGACGAGTGCTTTAATGAGGTGACTGAAATCTAATGCATGATGTGGAAGTGGTCACATGGTTGGCATGTACTGAGGAATTTTGAAGTGATAGAAGTAGTTTTGTACACTTACCTGGTATAAATTTTGGAAAGCCTAGGAAAGGTATTGCAACAAAAAAGGACAACGAAGAACTTAGCAACAATCCCAACCACCATGCACCAACCCACAATGGACTGCTGCTGTCAATTCCAAGCCTAGAAAGAACAAAGTAATATACTATATAATGGTATATTATTTATAAAATTCATTAAAATTGAAAAAAATATTACTTCTGATATATAATATTGCTTTATTTATACAAGAGAAGTGGCACCTGGCATGGGCGTTCCCCCTAAATTTAAAAAAATTATAATAAATATGGAGAAAAAAATAAGAAAATTATATTTAAATTTAAGTCTGAGAGTGCCATTTCCATCCACCTAGAGATTACATAATCATGGTAATTAAGTAGGGCTGAGGTGGTCTAGACCCTTCATCTTTGAAATCCCCTATCTGGGCCCCTCTACAATATTTTTAATTCCTGAAGAGTCTCCAAGTGCTTGTAACTTTTTTACAAAATGCAACCTACTCCACTCCCAGTAAATAGAAGATTTAATTTAATGCCAAAAACATCCTATGAGGTACCCATTTATATCAGGGAAGTACTGTATATTATACTGGATGAAGACAAACTAGGTAAATGCACTAGCCAAGGACACTAAGCCAAATGCACAGCCTGAGATTTGATGTTAACCTTTAAGGTCAAGAGCTGAAGTGCATTCACTTATCAACACATCCATATTGCTTGTAAACTTATTAACGCTTCAAGCACTTTGATAATGTCTGGAATAGGTGCTTCAATACATTATATATAAAATAAAAATGCTTAATAACAAAAAATGATATCAACTTCAAAAAAGTTTGTTGAAAAGAAAATAAAGCCAAGTTTTGCACATACAGTACACTATCTGACAGAACAATACCAAAAATATATTGAGTATAGTATGCTTGTTATTAAAGGTATTACTTATATAGAGTACTGTGCTCACAAATATAATTCCTGGCTCATCAATTTTATCAAAATGGCGTTGCAATGATAAGATGCTAGATTAAGCACAGTTGTTTTGCATCTAGTGCTACACACTGACGGAATGGTATTAAGATAACAATGCAATATATCATTCGGGGGGTTGCAATGACCTATATCTGATTCCTATCATACTACATTAAACCTCATGAATATTAGATACAGTCTAGTTTAGAGTTCAGTCTTTTGGATTTCTCCATTTAAGGACATGTTTTTCTGTAGATACATACATGATAATCCATACTACATTTGCTATGGAGAAACATTTCCATAAAAAGTTTTTGAATGTTTATCTTACATTGATGTGTCGACTCTGACATCGGTATAGATTGACAGGAACACGCCCCCTAGCAGGTACCCAATTGCAGGGCCTAATAACGAGGATGCATTCAAGATACCTAAAATGACAAAAATTAATGGTTAATTGCATATTAAATTACATTAATCATTTTTAACTGTAAATAGTTTCATTGTTTCCAATGAAAAGTGAAATTGAAAATTGACCAAGGACACATAAACTCAAATCATTCTCTACAAATCCAACTATTATTATTATTATTACTTGAGGATATCACTATAACTTAAGAGCTCATAAAAAATAGGGAGGAAATTATAACCCTTACATTACCCACTTGAACATTTCCATTTAACTTCCATTTTGAAGTCTGAATTATCAAGCTTAAAATTCAGAGAAATCCAATCATCATTATCGATCATTATTATATTATTAAGTACTACTAAACACATTTATTTCAAGTTGCTTTTAATCTTTAATTGTTTTTATCATTGTACTTTTTCGTAAATTTTTTTGGACCTTAGTTTTGTTTTTGATTTTCCATTTTCAGTATGTTTTTGTGTGCCTCGGAATAGGTGTACCTGGACAGATGGCGCATTATTGTTATTATTATTATTATTATTATTAATACATGATAAAAGCTTGGAGGTTAATTTGTCTCTAATTAATATTATTCATTATTGGTATCAATCTTACCAAGGTAAAATGCTGTCATTTTTTGTGGGACATTGTCATCAATGTACGTAACACCAAGCGTATAAAGAGGTGACGCTCCCACGCCGTGTAGTAGCTGAGCCACAACAAAAATGGCATAGTATTTGGAGTAGCTTGAAGAGTCATCATCACAATCTTCTGTCCTACTACTATTTCTGTCACACGTTTTGAAATCTGTTGACTGAAAGTCATAAAAAGGCGTCAGATAATGAGGAGTCGTAAAAAGCAAAGAACCGGCGGCGAATAGCAATGCACCTAAACCGATCCAGCGAGGTTTATGACTGTTCTCGCCAAAGTATGTCACAAACACAATCACCACCATTACTGCAACATCGTAACAGCTTGATATAAATCCACTCTTCACGCTTGGAAGATCAAAGCGCTTTTCAATTGTGGTTGTAACGACGTAGATTATGCCGTTTACGGTCATACCCTGGGTGATTGCGAACAAACAGGCAAAGAATAAAAATCCTGGTGCGTTGTTGAATTTCTGAGCGCAATCTGGTTTAATGGCACCCCAGCCGCATTGGCCATCATCTTCAAACTCGTCATCTATGCCACGTTTTGCTTCAACACTATTGTTCCCATTAATCGCAGGTGAATCATTGTCCTCCTTGGATTTGGCTGAAATTCTGTCATTATCAAGTTCTTCATAGCTTTTTTTTATATCGTCAGTAGCCATGTTGATCCAAGTGCGAAATAATTATTTCTGTAAAAAAAAATCATAATTTTAAAATAATTAGGAGTTACACATAATTATTACTTAATATACTTTACATTAAATGATTTAAGGCACATCTTCCTAAAGAAGTAATTTGCAACGAATAAAACTGTTTTAAAATATACATAAGTAGAATAAAATGTGTTGAACTATTGTTAATTTTGAAGGGCCGCTAGCAACTAACTCACGGTACGACACTGAAATTTTTTGCCATTTATAATTTAAACACAGGTAGTGTTTGACAAAACACAGTTCTATAAACTCAAACAATGACACTGAAATGTTTTGCCATTTAAAATTTATCGTAAACTCAGGTAGTACAGTATAAGACAAAACACAGTTCTATAAAGTTAGGGCTTGTTTCTACTGGAAAAAAAAAAAAAAAATAGCGATTAAAAATCGCTTTTTCAAAAAATCTTTTTTTTTCTCACAGTAGAAACGGGACCATTTTGAAAAAAGCATTTAAAAAAAAATTGATTAAAAGCACACAATGGATAGCGTGTTTGAACTGTAAATAACCGATTTTGGCTGTGCACATTTTAGCAGCGTCACAAAAAGGATTATCGGGTGAAATGTGACGTCCAGGTTGAACCACATTCGTATCAGGCGCGAACTTTCAAAATGGTTAGTCCTCTTGTTCATGTCTGAGTTCTACAAGCTAAAAAGTCAAAAAACATGTGGAGCGACGAAATTAATCGTTTTGTAAATATTTTGTGGGGAGATATATTGGGCTAGGCCTCTCTGCTCTTCTTCTGTGCCTACCGTTTTCCTCTTCTTTTGCTCGTTCGCTGTGTCGATGAGCACAGCCGAAAGCATTAGCCTTCTCCCAAAACACCGTGTTGTCCTCTTCCTCATCATCATGACCGAAATTCAGAGTAAATTGTCTTGTTGGTAAGAAGAAAACTACTGTATACAGTTTGGGAAACATGTTGCATAAAAAAGTGGTAACATAATTATCTCTGCGAAAACCAAATTTTGTAAAAGCAAAAATGCAGTTGCAACGCGGGCAGGCTGTCTGGCACACATTAAAAAAGCGGTGAAAAAAAATTGATTATTTAGTTTTTATCAGTAGAAACAAGCCCTTAAACAATGCAACGGAAACGTTTTGCCATTTAGGATACAGTATAATTTAAACACAGACAGTATAAAACAAAACACAGTTCTACCATGGAGGAAATAAATATATAATAATATTTATTCCTCCATGGTTCTACAAACTTAAACAATGACAGGGAAATATTTGGCCATTTATGATTTAAAGTAAACACAGGTACAGTAGTACAATACAAAACATAGTTTTATAAACTTGAACAATGACACTGAAATGTTTTGCCATTTATAATTTAAAAACAGCTAGTATAAGACAAAACACAGTTCTATAAACTTAAACAATGACACTGAAATGTTTTGCCATTTATAATTTAAAAACAGCTAGTATAAGACAAAACATAGTTCTATAAACTTAAACAATGACACTGAAATGTTTTGCCATTTATAATTTAAAAACAGCTAGTATAAGACAAAACACAGTTCTATAAACTTAAATAATGACACTGAAATGTTTTGCCATTTATAATTTAAAAACAACTAGTATAAGACAAAACACAGTTCTATAAACTTAAACAATGACACTGAAATGCTTTGCCATTTATAATTTAAATACAGGTAGGATAAGACAAAACACAGTTCTATAAACTAAGGTGAAACTGGTTAATTACAGTATATGTTGTCACTTTGCAGTATTAAAATAATACATTTACAAACTTTATTTTTTCTTGAAAATAAACTAACAAATCATTTTTATAGATATCAACAAACACAATAATTCAATCACCTGCTGTTTGGAAAGGGAGAGATTGAGTATTTGCTAATAATCTTCTGATACCAATCCAACCAGTGTCACTGATAAAACCTAAGAAGTGCAATGAAACGACAGTTTAGTTTAATTTAATACTAAACACATATTGCAGACAATATGTCCAACAGGTGGTGTCTCTCTGTGGAAGCCAATCAATATTGTACATATTAACGTATTAGTAACTCTTTTAGATTCAATCAAAATACATTCTGTTAATTATAGTGTACACTAGTATTACTGTAGCACAATAAATCAGCGCAAGGCTTCTCTTGTACTTTCTATTCTGTGTGTCTCTTTCACACTAAACACTTAACTATAAAACATAAAATATAACCTGTTTAACAGGGCAATTTGAATGTATGCTACTGAAAATGTACTAAAATCAGCAATGGAAATTTTATTTTGAACTAAACAATACGTTTGAATTCAAATGCAAGAATTTATCAATCTTCTATTCAGAAAATACTCAAACTGTTTTCAAATTGTTTAAGCATGAGTGGCTTAAAGGAAACAATGAAAGCAAGGTCTAAATATTCAGAGTATTGCAGCAATAAAATATCCAGTAGTTTACTTACAAGTAAAAACTGATCTGGAGCATAGAATGCGAATAATGGTTATTTTTCATTTTATAGCCCACTGCTGTAGCAGGACTAATTTGCATCCAAAGGGCACCACCCATTCCCACTCTCTGCTTGTCACATTTGCAAGAAATTTTTGAAGTATAATATAGGCCTAGGTCTAAAAAAAAAAACTGTTGCATTGATAAAAAATATAATTACTAGAAACTTTTCAAATACATTACATCTATTATGCATTGATAAAAAATATAATTACTAGAAACTTTTCAAATACATTACATCTATTATTACCAAAATGAAAATCTTGGATAAATATTAACCCTCGAATTATTGACTGAACTTCGTACACCATATCTAATTCAATGCATATCATGTTCCGTACTGTAAATTCTAGTTTGACATTTAAGAGTAGTAGTGTTTCTGTACATATCATTATCCATAGTGCTCTGCACAGCCAAGAACTCCATGCACTTATATTAACTGAACTAGTCATATATAGTGTATTTGTAAAAACAGAGATGAGTTTTGAATTCACTTTGAAATTAAAATTAGAAATATCTGAACACTCAATCAATAAGCAGATTTAAAAATTTCAAAACTATTTTTAGAACGATGCCATGAAAAATGACTATTGGAAAATCATTCAAGAGGATAATCTTTACCATTTATTGATTGATTTTTTTTGCTGATCACACTATTTTTACAAGATGAAATTATCAATAATTTGCATATTAATACACAAAATTTGACAGTGGTAGGTTGCATTATTAACCTGTAATGGATGTAATAATAAAATGTATGTACAATATTTATATAGCACTCTGCACAATGCAAGACTATTTTAATACCTTGTTTCGCAAACTTATAACAACATTTTGTTTTCTTATTTAGCAAATAGATTTGCCAAAAACACCCAAAAGGAGGAGGAAATAAAAATAAAATTTTATTGGTTAATGTAAACATTTTAGCATGTGCTCTAATTGTATATAATTAGGAAGAAATATACCTATCTTATTTTTGGAGATTTCAAGGCAGTGGCAGGCGTAATAAATATAAATAACTTTTATTTTTTTCTGAAATTTCCATTTTTAAGTGGCGGCAGGTATGCTAATTGGCCAAAAATGCAATTTATTTTTATTTGAAATCATCATTATTGGGTATAAAAAAAGTCTTGCCCTACCAAGCATACCAAGAGTGCATTTCTACAGTACATTATTGCATGTCTTTGGAATGATGCCTACAGTATGTGTGAAATTAAATATATTTGCTGTAGAGTATGTGAAATAAATCCGTGGATTTCGTATTTAAAACCATTTAATAGATACTGTACCTGTACCATACTCTTAAGTGGAGAGATCAACATGGATAAAGTGCCTTGTCCAAGGAAGCAAGCGAAGGGTTTCAAACTCCCCTCCCCTAACCTGAAGGTTGAAAGTCCAGCCTTTTTAAAGTTGTAAGTCAGCAAACTGCTTTTGAATACAGTAGATGTCATATACATCATGATGGAAGGCATACTCTAGAAACAAATTATAATTTATGGCCACTGGCTCACCACTTTTGCAATTTGATAGCAATGGCTGACATTACAATTCTTGATAATAAATGACATGGATCTATGAATGCCAATCAATCACTTCTTGTCCACACATCATCACCTTAATTGCCCGCGCTAATTTGAAAGACTGACTTTCTGTTATTTTGCTAATAATAACAATGATTATCAGCTCTATACATTGTTATTATTAGCAAAATAACAGAAAGTCAGTCTTTCAAATTAGCGCCGGCAATTAAGATGATAGTGTGTGGACAAGAAGTGATTGATTGGCATCCATAGATCCATGTCATTTACCACCTTATCAAGAACATCAATGTTCTGCACCGACATGTTATCGTACCGAATACTCAGAAAAAATACCATTTCCAGTACCTGCTGCTCCCTGGGGATCAGATTCAACACTACGTGCAAGCTTGGTGGTCTAGTGGTTATGACACCAGGCTAGTTATCTGGAGGTCATGGGTTCGATTCCCACCCAAATTTCCACCCGAATCCCTTTTTTTTTGCAAGTACTTGGGAATGTACTGAGTATCCTATGATATTTTCCTGATGCAAACACACATATCAAAATAGCATTTACAGTACCTCTGATCTGAGTATTTATCAGATTCAACACTATATTGTCACTAAGGGCAAGTTTGGTGGTCTAGTGGTTATGACACCCGGCTAGTTTATCTGGACGTCATGCGTTCGATTTGGGATTTGGAAACATACTGAGTAGGCTATTCAGTACGATAACATGTCAGGTAAAGATAAGGTAAAGGTAGGAAAATAACCCATTACTTGCAGAGTCATTGTGCTGAATTACGTATGGGCGTGGTCTGTGACTACCTAGCAGCCGTAAAGAGGCGCTTCTTGGTAGATACATGTTCACATTAATCCACAACGACAGGGGCTGAAATGAACCATAACATTGGGGTAACCCCCTACACTTTAAAGTGTTCTTTAAAGGGTTCTTTAAAGTGCACACGAGCCATATGTATATACACGGACCTCCATTTTAAGCCCTTATCCTAGAAGACTTGGTTCTACCAACTAAACCATGGGCGAGGAGTGGCTGGAACCAGCGCCGATGTTAAGGCTGTAGCTAGCGGCACCCCTGCCTTATTGCTTCTTGACACAAACACACATCGAAACAAATGTAGAGAGCTACAATGTGTAAATATCCAATTCTGCTGAAAGGTTCGCTCAAAACTAATTTCATGACAGAACTAGCAGATGGTCCTCTCAGGAAAAATCTGGTCCAAGGCCAAAATCGGTGGCTTTAAAATTACCTGCCAAATGTAGTCCACATAAGCCAAAATTGGTCTGGCATCTATTTAGTAGTTATAACCTGTATTTTTTAGCATTGTTCAAATTTGTTTTTAGCCAAATGATAGATAAATATCTCATCTCATATTATATAATATTTTTTCATTCTCTGTGTGTGTAATTAAGTTTACAGACACAAAAATTAGTATGTTATTTTCGCTCTTTGCACCCAGTAAACTCTTAGGTGTAAAAGTTAGAAAAGAACTTAAACGGTATGATCGTAATTCATGTTGGTCTGCTTTATTTTATTTTTTACATAGTTTTGTTTTGGTTGTGTGCATGGTTAACGCCACAACGAAATGGTGGAATAATTAGCAATCATTTAAAAAAAAAATTATTGACCCCTTTTATTTTCATGTAATAGAACAGCTACAGCATTGTATGATCTAATACCACACACAATAATATGGAATATTTAAAGCCTTGTGTTTTATTGTAGGCTCAAAAAACCTAGGCCAAGCATGGCTGCCGAAAATTCTAATGTGTGTTGTTTAGGCATTATCATGTGTGTTTGATAAAATGCGTCCACAATGGGGTCCATACCTGGGTCCACAAAAAGCTAAATACGAATCATTCTGTCACTTCAAAAGATTTTTCAAGTGTGGGAGAAGCTTAATTATTACTTCCCTCCACTTCACGGACGAAACAATCATACCCTACGGGCTGCAGACACGAGCAGCCAGGCTGACGGACCAATTTTATCCAAGGGGACCGATTTTAGTGGCTAAAATCGACCCGGCGGGCCGAATTTTGGCGTGACTGTCTATTTGTTTTAAATCCTTGTGTCCCATCTAATACCTCTGAGTAATGGCTGTAATGCAAGTACACAAGATCCTAAAAATAGTTTTTGTCACGGTTCACACACAAAGTTCATGTATCAACTAAGAATATAGTATAGTCTATTATAGTAAGATTGTTGGCAGAGTACTGTCATAGAATCATTATGCTGGCTGATCACTGCATACAGTAATGCATACGGTAATTTATAACATTCAGGAGAAATTGTAAAGTGTTGGCTTGTGTTGAATCGATACACAGTGAATCGGTATGAAGGCCTATATTAATATCTATAAAATTATTCCTGATAAAAACAACTGTCAGCAGTCCAAAGTACAGTACATTCAAATTATGAAAAAAAAAAAAAGCTGATAATTGTATGTGTAGAATATAAATAATAATTCAATTCTTATTTGCATCATGAGCAATTATAAGCTATTATCTGCAGGAAATATTAAACAAAATAAATCATAAAAAATGCAGAATGGAAAGAATGTGGTGAGGGTATGTTAAGGGAATAGACGCAAGTGATAGTGAAAGAAATGATTTAAAAAAACGATCTCATTATATTGATATTTAACTTAGTAATATCAGAATTGAAATTTGTCATGTTTACCACAGTATTTTTAGTTATGTTAATACAGTACTTTAGTTTTGTTAATACTTAGCAATACAAAATACTAATACAGTACAGGAATAACAATACATGAAAACTTAACATGTAAATTATATACTATATTTCTATTTTGCCTAGTAATTACAACAAATGCATACAAATTTATGTAGATAGTACGGAATTCTGTTTTGTTGTTCAAAATCAATAGGTTAATAAT